TGGAAATTAATATCAGAGATCCTTGTTCATTAAGAAAATAATAACAAATACAGAAGGACCTAAGCCATTTCTACAACTTGAGTTCCATACTAGCCTGTGCTCTTCCTCTTCTCACCTTGTCAAGGTCTCTTGGACTTCCCTCTATGGAGCAAAAAATCTATTTCTCCTATTTCCTTATGCAGAGTAGTTCTGCTCTTTTTTGTAACCTCAAATTCTGTCCTAGGCCCCCTTTGTACAGTCGAGGGTTTCCTTGAAGCCCAGAAAGGATGACCTGTAAAGGCAAAGGCAGTTCAGTGCGTAGACCAAGGCCTTCCTCTTCCCTAGTCTTCAGGGGATGGGAAGGGATGGGTTGATCCCATTCTCCTTACAACATTGAAGTGAGTCAGGAAGCTAGTTTCAACAACATCCCAAATAACTGCTTGTATATAGTTGTGAACTTTCTTTGACAAGTTTAATCTCAGTCAAACATCCTCATTTCCCCTTTGCAATCTTACCCTTGATCCCAGCATCAGAGAGTGCAAACTTATTTTAATACAGACCTAAGTTAATTCTGCTGACTTTTCCACTTTCCTATAATGCTGTTTTATCCTCTAAACTTTTTAAGCAGATATATACAATATCCTCCTCTCTGAAGACTCAGTGTCCTAGGTAGGGTTCTCCCAGAAGCAGAGCCTGAGACAGGACTTGGGTGCAGGTCATTTACTTGGGAGGTGATCCCAGAAAGGAATGAGGATCAGGAAAAGTAAGTCAGGTAAGGAAAAAAGCCAAGATAAGGACTCGTTGTCAAGGTTGCAGCTGTAGGCAGTGGGCACTTTACTCTGCAGGACCTCTGAGAATTAGAGAGAATGGCATTTGAATTTGCCTGTCTGAAGGATGGATATTTGTCCACTGGATCCCATCCCCCATGGGATGAGAGTCACCCCCAGAGACAATAAGGGCCCTGCATTTCTGGGATGCACTTGCTCATTGGTTGAGCAAGTTCCTGCTGGAGAATGGCCTGGGGTAGAATCAGTGTGTACTTGAGGACAAACTAGGCCAGCATGTGTCTGAGCTCATCTGGAAGTGCCCCTCACAGCTGCAGCTGAAGTTGGAGGTGAGCCAACAGAGTCTGACTTGTGGCACCAAGATCTTCTGCTGCACATAGTCAGAGCTCCATTTGTTAAAGCTTAAAGGGAAGATGTTAATCACATTTCATACGTCTTCACATGGTCTAAGGCTTCAGAAACTCTGCAAGGTGGAAACGATGCTCTCAAGTGTAACCATTATGTACCCTGGGTTCCTGTGGTGTCATTTGGTCTTTTATCAAACGCTTGGCCCTTTTGTCTTGGGCACATGGTAAGATAGCGCTTCTTTGCCACTTGGACTTAGATATGATCATGTGACTTACTTTAGCCAATGAAACATGAAAGGAAGAAATGCATCATTTCTGGACAGTAGATTTAAAACCCAGTGTGTCATTCACTAGCTCTCTTTTCCCTGGCTTTAAAATCATGTGTGTGTTGAGATAGAGACTTCATAAATCTGGGGACCCTGAATGACTATGACGCACAGACCCCCTTGCTGACCCCTGAGGGACACATATAGCTGAGCGGAAAGCACACTGAGAGTTTGGGGGGCTGTTTCTTACTGCAGCATCACCAAGCCTATCCTGACTAATATAGTTCCTGTATGGAAACAACGTATATGGAGTTTGCCTCTTGTATAATTTAGGGGTAAGATGCTTATAGATGGAGTGGGAATTATTTAGGAAAAAAGTGCATTTAGAAAATTAAGCTTATTTCAATAAAACAAAAATCACATTATGCAGCTGAAAGTTAACTAAATTATTTTATCTGCTGCTTTGGATCATCTGAGCCACAATTTTCTTCCATTACCATAAAAGTGTATCCATCTTCATCTCCACTCCTAGAGAAGCCGTGCCCAAGGGAAGGATATCACACATGTAAAAAGTCATATGCCAATCCCCTGGGGAGGACAGAAGAAAGGGAGGAAAGCTTTGTTATCATTATAGCGTGTATTTTGATATATAGCACCTTTAATCCACACAACCACCTCTGAAGGCCCATTATACATATGAGGAAATGAAGGCTCAGAAAGGTGGCTTGCCTTGCCCACAATCTCACGGCTCATTGTCCTACTGTACCATACTGCCTTTCAACACCAGACTCAAAACTTTCAATGGCTTAGTTTTATTTTTTTACAGTTTTATTGAGATATAATTGACATATTACATTGTATAAATTTAAAGTACACAAAAAAATGATTTGATGTATGTATACATTGTGAAGTGATTGCCACAATAAATTTAGTAAACATTCATCACCTCACATAGCTGCAATTTTTTTTTCTAATGATGAGAATTTTTAAGATCTACTCTCTTAGCAACTTTCAAATATATAATACGGTATTGTTAACTATAGTCTGGCTTAGTTTTTCCTCTTTAAAACAAGATGTGTGAATAGGACTGGAGACTTCTGTGCACCCTATTACCTACCACATCAAATCTAAACTCCTCTTCTCCTCATATTAATTGCACAGTCCTTCATTATTTGGCTCCTCGAGCTCTAGGCCATCAGGATCCCCAGAGTTGTTTCCACCTCTAACTCTCTCACCTGGTACCTACCTCCTGGAACATCTTCCTCCATCACCTCCATCTGTTCAATGCTACCCATTTATTAAAGCTGTCAGGAGTTCAGAGCTGGGAGAAAGAGTTGAGCTGTCAGGGGTCGGAATAGCCGATTAAAGCAACAAGCCAAAAATGAATGAGTTAAGCCTTTAATCAGTTACTGAGATGGTATAAGCAAGAGGCTAAAACCAGAGAAATTGCCAACTCCCCCATTCCATTTTCCCCCGTGGGACAGTGCACTGGTCCAGGACGAGGTGGATCAGCCCAGATGTGGGGGTTGTCTCACTGTTGAGAGACACCCAGACAAAAGGCTGGACCCTGGGGTCCAGGGAGCGGGAGGGCCTTTGATCAGGCCTGAAAAATCACACATGGATTTTTAACCAGGAGCTGAACTTCTAAAAAGCTTATCAAAATGCTTTCTCTGAAGGTTGAACTTCTGGCTTTGGCTAATGGATCAAAGCAGGAAAATTGTCTGGAACCAAGGATGTGGAGCAGAGGTCAGGGCTCCTTTTTACCTAGAACCGCACGTAAGACACAAGCTGGTCAACACAAGGAACAAACACCAGACAAAGATCCAGAAACCAGGGAGCAAAGTGGGCAGCATCCTCCTCCCCTGATAGGACACAGAATGAAGCCTGCTCCTGAGGCTAATCCCAAGATGAGAATTGCTGGGCTGAGGGATGGGTGCTTGCATGGACCCAATGGGGGCTTTAGAGACTAGAGGTGATTGAGTAACAAGAGGACTGTGGCTGTTGGCTCTTAGTGGGGCTTGGGAGTGGCAGATGAGTTGGCAGATGTTGGAATGATCTTCCCTAATAGTAGTAAAGTCAAGGGACAGCTGACCTCCATGCTGAGCCATGTTGCACACTCATTATAGACTAAGTGGCCAATGTGAAGGATAGACCCAACGAGAGCAGCCTATCTGTATCTCCCATGTGCTTTCCACATTCAGTGACACCTTCTTTCCAACAAACACAGGCCACTGGACACCATCAACTTCACCAGGTGCTATTTGTGTGTTAGCTTCCAGTTCTTGCATGCCAGAATCTTTCCTCCCCAGCTCAACTCCCTCTCCCAGCTCTGCAGGATGGCTCTGCTGGAAAATGGCTGCCCAGCACTTGTCCCACTGAAGGTAGATGGTAAACCCACAGGCTGCTGGCCCGGGGCAGAGTACCACAGCCAAAGGGATCCAAGCCTCCCCTCTTCTGCGACCTAAACCTCCCACCTTCTCCCATCCCCCCAAAAAGAGGGGAAAATCAATTTCAATCAACGTGGAATGTAATATTATCAAATGTCAGCTGCTGAGGTCATGCGCTTTGAAAATTATCTTTGACAGCTTCTGGTCGACTTAATTAAGTGCTCCCCAAAAAGGGGGGAGGGAGGCAAAAATACTCTGATTGCTAGCTGCTCTGCCTTTGTGCTTTAGAGCTCTATTGACAACTCTGAGCAAGATTGCCTTAGGGGGTTTTATTGATAGATTCTCGCCTGATATTGGAATGATTCTTGCACAGATAAATCACATTTAGATTTGTTGGTAATTGAGGAGAATTGATTGGCGCAGGAGGGAAGCCCCCAAGGGGTGGTCTCCTTGTCCTCATTGTAGGAAGCTCAGGGGAAAGTGGGGAGGCGTGTCATCAGAGAGCTGAGAGCCTGCAGGGGGGACCCAGGCCTCCTTGTTTACCTGTCAATTCTGCCTTCCTCTGAACCTTGCTCCACCTTGCTCCCTCCCAAAGGAGGAGCATGGAGGGGAAGACCGGGTGGAGGCTGGGGAAAGGTTTGTTCCAGACACCTTTTGGAGGTGCTGTTTCAGGAGTGTCCTCGGTCTCATGTCCATTACCTCAGCCTGAATCTCTCTTCATTCCAAATCTGACTCCGCCTCTTTGCTTAAAACACTTCAAAGACTTCCTGTGCCAGGTAGAGCTCAAATTCCACAGCATGGCCTATGTGGGCTGACCCAGCCCATGTTCAACATTCTCCCTGCCCCTCCTGTAATCTCTAAACCTCTCCTAGCATCCTTCTCACCTCTTGCAGGTCAGTTTCCTTGGGGGCCAGATTGTGGGAGTTCCTCTGCTGGAACTTTCCCAAAAAACAGATGCTCAAGCAGGTCTGAGCCAAGGGAGCCCCCGAGAAGGAGGCGTCCAAACCTGTCCAAGCAGTGGAACTCTTTTGCCAAAACACATGTCATGTGGCACACAATGCACAAAATGGAGACTAGCAGGGCTATTCCGTGACCAGGGCTCCATCACCTGGGCCTTTCTCTGTCCTTCACCTTGTCCTGTGGTGGGGCCCCTAGGATTGGCAATGAACGAAGTCTGAACACCACTGCCCCCATCCAACTCTATGATTTGCAGCCAGCTAACACCAAGAGCGCCAGTCTTGGTGGTCTAGTGGTTAAGATTTGGCGTTCTTACCACCATGGCCCAGGTTCAATTCCTGGCCAGAGAACCACATCACCTGTCTGTCGGGTGTCCTACTGTGGTGGCTGCATGTTGCTGTGATGTTGAAAGCTGTGCCACCAGTATTTCAAATACCAACAGGGTCACCCATGGTGGACAGATTTCACTGGAGCTTCCAGACTAAGACAGACTAGGAAGAAGGAACTGGCCACCCACTTCTGAAAAACCCGAGCATGAAAACCCTGTGAACTGCAGCGGAACATTGTCTGATACAGCAAAGGAAGGGGAGAGGATGGCACGAAAAGACCAGGCAGAATTCCCCTCTGCTATACCCAGGGTCACTGGGAGTCAGAATCGACTTGATGGCACTAACAACAACAACGCCCAGAGTGGGAAAGTGATTTGTCCAGGGCCTCACAGCCAGGAGTGAGATTGGAGTTAGGACTAGTACCTCAGACTCCTGACTCCCAGACTTGCCCTTCACTAACCATCACTTTCTACCTATGCCATGCTACCCCTCTCACTTTAAACTTGAGAAAACTGAGGTTCAAAGGCATGAAGTGCTGTGTCCAGGGTCACACAGAAAGGCATGGTGTAAGCAAAAGTCAAACTCCGATGCCCAAGTCCTGGGTAAAGATCTGAAAAAAGAGTTAGCATCCTTTGATCCCTGTTCCTGTGGTCAAGGGCAACCACTACCTTCCAGGCGGGCGCCTTCATGTGCTGGTGCTCCCTTCTCTCCGGGGACCCTGCCCTCTCCATCATGGCAGACTGGAGGATTGGCTCTTCATGCTCCCTGGTCTTCATCTTCCCACTCCTGCTATGTTCTTAGATTCCCTCCTCCTCGCCAGTCCCTGCCTAGGTTGCAACTGGGAGTAGTAGCAAACAATAAAAGTGGACAAGGAAACTGGGCATAGAAACACAAGCACTTGTATCTGGAAAAATCTCATAATCCCTGAGGTCCTGGCAGAGGAAACATGGGGAGGGTGTGAGCACCAGGAGGAGAGGGAGGAGATCAGAGATGGCCCCCAGGGATGGACGATGACTGCTGTCTGTGACACCTGACTGGGCAGAGAGGTGAGGTTCCAGGTCCACACGGTTCTTTAAACACTGTGAACTGGAGTTTCAGGCTCATTTTCTCTTTTTAAAATTTGATGGAGCTGGTCAGTGCCTGCCTAAGATTGGATGGACTCAAGGCTCATAGTTAATTGACTCTCCTCACACCTCTGAGCTTCAAGAGAATTGCCCACTTTCAGTCTCAAAACACCAGAATGGCTGGGCTGGGAGGAGACCTCAATCATCCCAGTCAATCCCTGGAGAAATGGTGACACAGGTGGCCAGTGCTGTCCTCAGGACAGCATCAGAGCCACTGCAATGACCAGGCAGATGTCCAGTGACTTAGTCTGCTTTGGCTGTTATAACAAAATACTATAGACTGGGTGGCTTAAACAACAGACATCTATTTCTCACAATTCTGGAGGCTGGGAAGTCCAAGATGAAGGAGCCAGCAGATTCGGTTCCTGGTGATGCCCTTTTCCCAGCTTATAGACGGCCGCCTTCTCACTGTGCTCACGTGGCCTTTCCTCGGTGCGCGCATGTAGAGAGATCTCTCTCTCTCTCTCTCTCTCTGTCTTCCTCTTCTTACAAGGGCACTAATCCCATCATGGGGTCCCCACCCTCATGACCTCATCTAAACCCAGTTACCTCCCAAAGACCTCACCTCCAAATGCCATTGCAGTGGAGCTTAGGGCTTCAACATATGGATTTCAGAGGGGCGCAATCATACAGCCCATAACAACCAGTGTCGCAGGGATACAACCAGAGGTGGAAGAGGTTACAGCTGGAGGCTGATACCAAAAGACCCAAAGCTCAGATACACACTCAGCCCAGAACTTGCAGGCCTTCCTCAATGTCACTTCTTCCCCTACCCCACACTCTGCTCTGCAGTAACCCTGTCTCCACTCCCTGTTCAAGATCTTTGCTGTTTGCAGTGTTGGTTTTCAGAAGAGATAAAGTATGACGTGCCTGAGTTGGCCCTGCAGGGGGTTGGGTCTTCAATTTGCCTGCCCTAACTCCAAGCTCTTCCAGGGCAGCCGCCCCAGACTGTGTAGATGGTGCCTGGCACCAGGGTACCTGCCTGAGGGAGTGTGAGCAGGGGCTGAAATCAGGGCATGCTCTGCCAGCTCAGGCCCAACTGAGCACCTGGCGAATGGATACACCAGCTCTGAGCAAGTGGTATCTTTTCCAATGTTCTGCCCAGAAGGGGTGCTTTTATCACAAAAGCTTCCCATGAGTTAGCCTTGGCCCTGATTTGACACAAATCTCCCTCATGCCGTCTGGAGAAGGCTCTTCTTCCAGGGGACAACCTTTGACCTCCTGGAGCTCTCCCACCCCCTGCCTGCAGGCCCTCCACCTGGGAGCCATGTCCTCCTTTTTGCCACTCCGCTCTCACATGGCTCCCTGAGCTAGACAGTTGGTAAAAATGCACATGTGAAGATGTCTTAATATTAAATATAATTAGATATTATACCACATGCAGGGCTGTATGATTAGTGAAATATATGATCATTAGTTATTAGATTAATGTGTCTACTTGTGTAACTGAAAGCCATTTGCAAGCCGAAATGAAATAGCTCAATTTGCTGTAATTGACTGATCTCCCAGAGAGAGAGTCGTACATTTGCTTATGTACACGGCGATTTCTTCAGATGTCACCCCAGATGCAGACAAAGAGCAGGCTCTCTCTGCGCCCCAAACGTCAGGGCTGGCTCTGCCGCTAACTAGCTGGGCAGCAGTAGCCGGGTCACCCACAGATATATTTGGGGGGTCCCACTGCATAGAGGCACCCAGGTTGGGCGCCAGGTTTTCTTTTCACTGAAGGGTTACCTTAGTCGAACTTCTCCAAGTGCCCAAGGGAACATCGGCGTCCTGCTGGTCAAAGACAAATTGAGCTGCCTGGTAGACACTTTACCCTAAATCCCTCCCCATTTTTCTTCCTGTTTGTATGTGTATTGGTTTCCAGGACAACCAAGCTGCAACTAACTAATAAAAACGATTGCAAAGCACTCTGCAAATGGGAGATACAACTGGAATACTTATTATTGTGGTTATGGTCTAATAATAACCAGATGCTAACGAGGGTGGCATAAGATTAAATTAAAAATAGGCAACCTGTTAGGCAGGCAGAGCTAGTTCAGAGGGCACACGCTTGCTCCGCAGTCTCCCTCTCCCCCCGCCATCCGCTGGTACTTCCTGGCTGCGCAGATGAGCAAAGCTTCGTTTTCCCACAGGAAAGGAGGCACAGGAGCATTAGCTAATGTGCCATCAGACCCGGAGCCCTCTGCCTCCACTGGAGAGAAAGGGAGGAGTAACAAACATGAAATTAACAATTATACGAGGCTGAATGTCCCTCTTTTAAAAATTCCTCCACATCTCATTTGATCCTCATGACTTCTTTTCGAGTAAGTGATTTAGATGGTAATTCGCCCCATTGTACAGATAAGAAAATTGAGTCAGAGAAAAGCCTGACTGGAGGATCTTGGGCAAATTGTTCCCCTCTCTGGATCCCAGTTTCCTCAGGGGGAATATGGGATGTTCACAATTCTGATTTTTAACACTGTAGCCAGAATAACTAGTACCCTAATTTCTCTTCTAAAGATGTTTTCCCCTTTGTAGAGTGTTTAGTAATCAGTGCCTTGAAAAACTCCTTAAGAGACTTTAACTGGAGGTTTCACTTGCAATTTTATTTATGAATCATGCAATCAATCAAATTAACAAGTATTTATTGAATATCTAATAGGAGCTGAGTATGACGCTGCAGGAGAGCAGGAAACAGAAGTTTGGGGCGTGGCCCCTGTCCACAGGGAGATTCTGACCGCATGTAGAAGACTCTACTACACACAAGAGGGGCTTCGTAATGACGCAAAGGGGAGTGTGCCAATTGCCAAGTTGAAGGAGAGGATCTTCAGTGTCCTACAGTCTCTTCAAATGAGAAAGAAGTCTCTGTAGGCAAAAGAGGTCAGAAAAGGCTTCTGGGAAACCCAGGTAGGTGGGAAGCTTGCAAGGATTTGTTTAAAATTTCCCCGAGCAGTGCACTGAAGATTTGTGCAGTGTACTGTCCCCCTTCTCAGCTTCCTTTCCTCCACAACACTTCACACCATCTGACATCCTATACATTTTATTTATCCCTCTTGTTTTTCTCCCCAAATAGAAATGTAAGCTCCAGAAAGCTGAGATTTGGGGCTGTTTTGTTCACTGCTGTATCTTCAGAGCCTGGTACATAGGAGATGCTCAATAAATGGTTGTTGAATGATTGAGTGAATGGAATTTCCCCAAGGTCTTTCTTTGCATTCCCACTATCTGGCCCTCATCATTTCTTGCCCAGACATCTGCAGAAATCTCCTAACAGTTTTCTCTTTCCAGAAATCCTGGACCCTTCACTTGCCCCTTACTTGTATTCTTATTCGTGATTATTTTTTCATGTTCTGTCCCTCAAGTTCATTCCAAGTTCCTTGAGAATGAGGCTTAGACTTCTCATTCAACTAACATTTGTTATGCACAAATGGTGATGTCACAGAGAAGTGACACCTGAGGTGTAAAGGGTGAAGGAGAATTATGGAAAGCAAATGACAGGATGATCCAAGCTGAGACACTGTCATGGGCAAAGACCATCATGAGCTGAACCCTCAGGGGACTGAAGGTGCCCAGAAGGGCTGGAGCCCAAAGGCTGGGAAGGTGGCATGTGGAGGTGGGAGCTGAGCCTGGCCAGGTAGACAGGTGAGCCAGACTATGACGCGCTCACTGGGCTTCGCAAACCGAAGGCTGGTCTTTGGTTATTTTTCTGTTTTGGAGGAGTTTTGAGAGCAGGATGTAGTCTGACCCAGGCTTTGGGAGATGAAAGGGAAGCACAACAGCGACTTGAGTGTGAAGGAGGAGAGAGAGACCACGTGAAGGATGAAGGAGAGTCACCAGGCCAAGAGAGGTTTTTTATGATTTCTTGTTTCGATGGGAAAGGATGGAACCCTTCATATTGCCGAAGGAGAAGAAATGGTG